GCGCCCAACTTCATCACCAAAAATTCGCAGTGGTTGATGTTTCGGAGATCCTCAAAAAACTCCACACTGTAGTGATACCAGGCCATCAGAAATACGCGACTGCAGAGACCATGAGTGACAAGAACAGCCACGCTGGCCATTGTGTCTTCGGAAAACCGTCTCCAGAGTGAACCATTGAAGGATGATACGCGGTCATAGACGTCTGCTCCACTTTCTCCATTAGGAATGCGATAAAAGAAGTGACCATATTGTGCACGCTCTCGCCACAGTCTTTCAACTTCTTCGGTGTCTGGCTGAAAATTGCCAAAGTCTTGCTCCCTCAGCCTTGGTTCCTCATATACCTTGATGTGGTGTCGCTGGAATGGTGAAGGCGCAGGTTCATTCGAACACAGGCTCTTCAGAATACCTTCTGTTGTTTCCCTGGTCCTCCTGTATGGAGAAATGAAGAAGTGTAGTGTATCATCGGTTCGGAGGAGAGCACGAAGCTTCTCTCCTGCTGCAAGCGCTTGGCGATGCCCTTCTTCCGTCAATCCGACTTTGTGGTCTGGCGTCGTCTGGTGGATAGCTTTGTCACGGTTCCCTTCGGATTGAGCATGTCTGATAATGATGATCAACCTTGGCTTCCCCATGTTGCTGGACCAGTATTCACAATGGCTGTGGTGGCCTCTCTGCCAGCGGTCTGATGTCAACTCGTGACTTCCGCACTCCCACACTTCCTTCACTTGGTCTTGACAATACACCCGAAGTAACTCAATACAGCCCAAGTTTTAATCCCGGGATAAAGACCCGACACTCATACCATATGGTCTTGGATAGAAGGTGAGGAGTTATGACAGCCTTGTTTTGCAGACTGGCTCATATGATGCCAAGAGAATTTGTGCCCGATTAGGATTAGCCCAGCCGCATTTGAATCGCGTTCTGCGATGTCGCGATCATTGCGGGCAAGGCTCTCTCTCCTTCAGCCATCCCACTCGATCACCAACGCTTAGCTGAACTTATTGACACGCTCCAGCCACCAAGCTCATGCGCAGATCGTAGTCGCGACGCCGATATCCCCTTTCTTCCCTCCGAACGATCAAGGATTTCGAAGCGACAACAACGCCGACAACAAGATGAATCCCCAGATGCAGAATTATCGACAATATGCCCAGGCACAAGGAAGATCCCCAGCGGCACGTAGGCCAGGTGAGTGCGACCCGAGCACCAGGATACTTGCAAACCCAGATATTGGTGGTGGAGGTCCCAGGAATTCCTTGAAGGAAAAGGACAAAATTGACGGACAACACCTCATGGCCCTCCTGCCCCAACCCCGTCGTTTGGTGGACACTGGACAGATGGCTCTCTTATCTGCTTTTCTCACCCAACAACAAGAGATCTTTCACTTACAGACGCTAGGCCAGATTCCTCCTGTCCAACATGCTGCTCAGCAGGCGCAAGCTCAGATGATGCAACAACAAGCCCAACAGCGCAATGCTGCGATTGAACACCAATTGGCACAGCGACGTGTGCGAAAACCTACCGACCGAAACATGCCGGACGGGCTAGAAGAGATTGTTATTGGAGATGGCGTCGAGCAGTATAAGAAACTGCGCGAGGCAGAGAAACAACTAGACCATCTGATGGCACGGAAGAAATTGGAGATTCATGACAATTTCAACAAAAATGTCAAGAGGCAGAAGACAATGCGGATATGGATCTCTAATACGGTGTCAAGCCAACCTTGGCAACTGAATCCGGATGAGGAAGGCTTCACATTCGACTCCAACGGCGAGCCTTCTTATAGAGTCAAGATTCAAGGGAGGTTACTGGAGTATGACGACGATGACATCTTACACAGTGACGACGAAGATGAAGAGATGGGAGGTCAAGACCAAACCAAAGAGAAGAAGATCAGACCGCCTTCCAAGAAATTCACACAATTCTTCAAGGGGATGACGGTCGAATTCGAAAACCCGAAAGACAGCCTGGGCGATAACAATCAGATGATAACGTGGAAGAAGGGTCAAAACAGCGCTCAATCTGGCGAATATGACAGCATCGAGTTCGAGCGGAGATCCGACGAAAACGTCAACATTACAATATGCCTAACACGCGACGAACAGCCCGAAAGATTTCGCCTTTCCAAGGCTCTGGCCGAAACTCTGGATATGGAAGAGGCGGAGCGTGCCGAAGTCGTCATGGGTATCTGGGACTATGTGCGCGCCATGGGCTTACAAGAAGATGAAGAACGCCGGAGTATTCAATGCGACGACTCACTCAAACGTATCTTTGACACCGACACGTTCTTTTTCCCTCAGGCGGCTGAACGGCTAGTCCCACACCTACACCCCTTGCCGCCTGTGCGACTACCCTATACCATCCGCGTGGACGAGGAATTTCATAAGAATCCCGAACCCACGGTTTACGATGTGCAGGTCGCGGTTGAAGACCCTCTCCGTCCATTGATCTTCAAACTCACCCAAAACCCAGAACACCAGAATACACTCCGCTCGATTGCCAAGTTGGACGACGAACTCGCCATCGTGGTACAAGCGCTGCATCACCACAAGGCGCGGCACCAGTTCTTCACGAGCATGGCAAAGGATCCGCAGAAATTCATCGAGAGGTGGCTCAGCAGTCAGAAGAAGGACCTCAGCGTGCTGCTCGCGGAGCAAGAGCGAGGGGATGTGGCTGGCATGGAGTTCTCCAAGGGTGGAGAGGACAGCGTATGGGGCGGCGAAGTTGTTAGGGAGGCGGTGAGGTATCGGCTTGCCAGGGCAGAGACCTCAGGGAGGTAATCGACTAGGGAGGGTCACCTATAAAGTGTCATGTGTCATGGAGCTCAAGACACACACACCAGAGGGAAGGGAGTTATCGTATTACGAGCAAAATGTTTCCATCCGTTCTACCAGGAACCAGGCGGCGCCACTCCAGGGGGTAATTGGAAATGGGAGACGGGAGACGGGGGACGGGTGACGGCACAGTCCACAACATGCACCGGTTGAGCAGCATCACGATGTATAATTATGTAGGTATTTAGGTCGCACAGGCGTGGGCAGGGAGCGTCCATATCCTTGATCCTGTTCCTGTCCCTGTCCTTGGGAAGCGAGGTTCTTGTCCTTTTACCTGTTCTTGTGCTCCTTCTTGTACATGTTCTTGATTGTTCTTGACATGGATTTCTCGGGCTTTGTGCTCCGTCTGTCATATCTAATGACGTCCTCGAACTGGTGAGTGAAGGATTCTGCCCAGCCCCGTTCCCAGGTGACAGTACGTTTCCATGATCCCAATGACTGTGGGAACATTGAACCCGACCATTCCATTCGGGGATGTACCATTTTGATGCATTTCTACTATTTGAGATGCAAACTCGACCGGATCAGGGGAGCTGTGGAGAGGTCCATGTCGTGGAAGTCGCTGAGGTACACATGCCTCAGAATCGAATCTTGTCTTTCGAAGCTGGGGGCAAGTGGAATTTGCATCCTGAATTGGTCCTTGAGTCCTTGACACCATGGCTCAAAGCCAGCCAGACCCAATTACCTGTTTGAACACTTGTTTCTTCTCTCACGAACAACGCCCAGGAAGTTAATCCAAGGGCAGCTGGACACGTTAGCTTCTGAGTCTGCGTGAATCAAGAAGGGGTTGGAACACCTACGTGCAGTCCTACGCTATCCTTCCCTTGCAGCTGTGGGCATCAAGTGTCTTTGCCACCACGATGTGCCTTAACGGTAATCAGCGATGAAAAGACCAACGGCGACCACACACAAAGCTCCCATGAATGTAAATCTCCTTCCAATGCCTATGGCGTCCACCAAATCCTGCAGGAGCGAAACTGCAAGTGCCGCCAGTGCGCAGCGAACGATATTGCTAGAAGTTTGAGCAACAGCGGGCGAGCAATGGTTTTTGTCCACCACGAGAGTGTTGTGGATCTGTCGAGCTGGTCGGAATACCGCGAATTCTCCTGAGAAAATAGTGGCAAGGGGCTACTTACGCTGAAATTTAATTGCATGCATAGCCCTTCCACGAACTGAAGAGAACGGGGGATGGCGACGTGCTTATGCCGCCGAAGTCCGTCAGTCTTAGTAGTCCTAGGAGGAAGGAATTTAAACAGTCCCGGACCAACTCACTAACCTTTTCATACTAGAGGACGCAGCCGAAGGCCACGACAGAGCAGATGGTGGAGGCGGGAACCGCGAAGGGAGAGCTGGGAGGGTAGAGGTAGGTATCTCTCTGGCCCAAGCTTAGTCGCAGATAATATGACAGAGGATTGACGATAGAGATTGTTTCCTGTTATCAGCAGCTTCCACCGAGCAATGTACATTCCTACCATATTTGCTCTCTCATCACGGATATCCGTCATTTCTCCCTCCGGAACTAGGGGCAGGATCTGCATGCCATGCTTCATATTTGCCAGAACCCTGGACGCAGGGCTGGAAAACCACTGATAGTGAGCAGTCAACATGCAATGGGTGTAACTTGGAACAACTGAAGTGCATGTAGTTGGGGCGAAAACAGGGGATCCCGGAAGAGGGCTATGAGCGAAGTATCAATTGAGTTGACACCATCGGCGGAGTATCACCGAGCGTGACTACGCTGTGAGGCCAACAGGTAGGTATCGATGCTGGTGCGGGAGAGGCGTGTAGGTCGGTAAGTGTGATGAGAGTGTCTGGCAGAGTAAGATGTAGTGAGCGTGGGCAGCCACTACCATGGACAATCAACGCGAACTGCCGCATAAAAGCTCTTACCGCTAAAGTGAAGGCACGCGATCCTCGACGAGCACCCATCAGCACCCATTAGGATAACCAACGATGATGGTGGGTAGAAAAACACACATCTTCCCCCAAAATGCCCTACCAAAGGACTAAAGAAAACAGGGAAAACAAATCGAGATTGTGTTCAATCCTCATCTTTCAAGACGTATGTATGTAGTTTACTCCTGTGGAATGTTTGTACAAGAAATTTTGGAATGGCCGATACTCGCGGAAAAAGGACGGGAATATCAAACAGGACTTTTCGTTTGCCGATCATGGTACATCGGTCCTGAAGCCTGGGTCAAGATTTCCAACGTCGCCTATGGCTGTGCCGCTGTTGCGGAGCATATCGAGAGCTTCTTGGCCCTGCTTTGTTCCGGGAGCGGGCATCAGCGGTTGTGACCCTGGTTGGATCGGCATCGACGTTGCAGGTACTGAGGGAAGACGAAATTCTGTTAGTCATTTCTTATGGGCAGTCGTCGACCGATGGAGGTGGCCTGCCAATGGCTGCTTCCTGCCTGAAGGAGAAGAAAGGGAAGCGAGAAAGGAAGATAAGGCTGGGGATACATATTAGCACTCACCGGGTATGCCCAGACTCATTCCCTCGATGAAGCGCTTGTAATACTGCGCCTCCTGGATGCTCTCCAACACATCTGCTCGGGCGGTATGTTTGAGTTCTTTCCTCGGTGCCGCCATCAGCACCGAATCACTCGCCCAGCGTCGTACCATCTCCTTCATGGCCGAGACATCAAACAGTCGGTAATGGAGGTGTTCCAGAATGACGTTCCAAGGTGGAATAGCCAAGAAAGCACGGTCGGCGTGGATACTGTTTCCTGCCAAAAGAGCTCGGCCTGGTTCGGGAATGTAATGTTTAATGTATGCGAGAAGTTTGGTGGCAGCTTCTTCAGCACTGGTCGACGAAACCAGGCATGCCTGTGTGAGACCGGACTCGCCATGCGTCTTGACGCACCACTCAGACATCCTCGAGAGCTGTTCCGGGGTGTGGAATATCACAGCATCGAAGCCTTCTGTGTCCAGCGGAGCGAGGTCGGCGGTAGTGATGATGCACGCTATGGACATGATTGTATCTTTGGTGGGGTTGAGACCCGTCATCTGGGAGCCAGTATTCGGTCAGCGCGACGCAGAAGCAATGGCCATAGATGAAGCTGGATAGGTGTAGATGGGCCAAAAGATGCGGTAAACATATTGCGAATCAACGAGGTGCGGTCGGAGACAGATGTGCGTGTGAGGCTTCATTAGAAGCTCCACCCCCTTGTGGAGGGATTTCAGCAATGATTGTTGTAACAGGTAAACAGGGGTGATGCTTTTGTGTTGCTGGGAAAGGGCCAGTAAGGGGTTCACTCGGTGTGTACACCTACCTCGCAGTCAATCCAGACCAGCGGATCAGTGGATCGGGTGAGTGCCATGGCTGGTGCTTCCTTGATAAGTTTTTCGGTTGTAGCTTGAGGATTGTGTCTACCAACCTCTCAACATATGTTTTTCACTCCAGTCTCGGCCTGTCAACGACAACTGTCTGGAACAAAGGCTCTGGACCCATATACCCACTTGGCAACTGGGTGGCAAACTGACTTGACAGGCCTCGCATGAATTAAAATGAGCTGCTCGACAACATTGCGTCGAAGAAAGACCTGGAGGAATGGAGGAACTTCGCCCACGACGAACTAAACGAACCTCGTCCAATGGGGGTGATTGAGCCCTGGGGAAAGGGTAATGACGATTATCTGATCATCTGTTACCCTTCGCCACTAGTGCGGCAACATTTCTATGAGAGAGAATTTGTGACGAAGGCAAGAAAAGGACGGTACAACGAGAGAGATGATGACGATATGCACCCTAAGTCCAATACTGTTCGGGGCCAAGGCCCACAAGATTCCCGGCCAATGAAATTGCAGCGGAATCGGAAGGGGCCCGGAGTGGAACTCCACCCTCCACCCACACAGGCCCCCCTTTACCCCTCACATATCAACAAACTACGTCTATAACGCTATGTCAGGGCTGCCGGGAACTACAGGGCCATGAACAGCCAGATCAGCTTTGCGATCAATAGGAGCTTTTACAATTTGATAATGTCATTGGACCTCCGGCCTGGTTTGCTGACTGGCAGCTCCAAGCTTTTTGGATTGTGCCTGTATTGAGGTTTATCTTTTTGATCGAACACGAAAAGAACACTCGTCAATGCCTGGGAAATTGGTACAATTACCACCGCGGGTTGACTCGGCAGTTATGCGTCCACGTCCACGTCCACGCTCATGCCTTTCCCCCGCTCCCTTGGCCTGTTGATCCCTCTCTGGCCTAAGCACCCTTGGAGACTGTTTACAAGCCTCTGCACCCTTTCCCTGACCCATGCCCTCCATGACTGCAGCCTCTCGGAGGGATCTGTTCTGCGATCACGTCCTGCATCCCATTCTCCAAGTACAGGCTCGTGCTGCAGGAATTTTTTTCGCACAATTAATCAAAATATTCGACGGCCAGCCCTTGCTTGCGTGTATCTTCACTCTCCATCTTATCATCCTGACTCCAAATTCTGCGGTCTTGACAAAAGAAAGTGGAAGAGTCGAATTTCCAACTCGACTGCTGACAGAAGCCGCCGTACGCGGCTCTCATTTCCTGTATTCTCAGCGCGTGGCATAGCACTGACAGGCAGTATTTCTGAAGTATCCACACACGTCTGTCGATAAAAGTCTTCAGAAGCCGTGGACGAAATTCTGGGTCCATGGTCAGCTCGCGGCATAGAGTTTGTGGGCTTGTGGAAGGCCTTTCAGAGCTCTTCATCGTCGCCAGCTGTCGACTCTTTGACCAACGGCCCTCCAAACTGCAGGCCAGAAGCAGTTGAACTAGTCGCAGTCGGTTGAGATGGTCCCGAAGTCCCAAGAACTTCGCCGATAGCGTTCGAAAACGTGGACGTGCTACCCCCTAATCGGCTTTTGATGTCATCGTCAAAGTCCGCAATGCTAGCCCGATGTCGCTTCATCGGACTGCCGACCATGAAACTCTCATCGTCCTTTTGAACGTCCAGGCTGCTGCTCAAACCCATAGACCCCGTATTCGTGCCTGCAGGTGACGTACCAAGCTCAACAGCGCCAGCTTTGGGTGTCGAATTACCCGAAGTGCTACCAGATTTCGAGCTCTTGCGAGGTTCTGTTATGCCGTTGCTATTCAGCGGTTCCGCCGAATGCTGTCGCTTGAGCTGATGATACCTTAGCCCATGCCGGATTTTCAACGGCGAAGGGTCTCTTACCTTCATTTTACGGATGCCCTCCGCAACCTGACCTGTCCGCTCAGCATCTTCTGGACTCAGCATGCTCGGATCTCTCTTTGCATCTGCATCATTGATGTCCTCCATCTTGCCAATGATGCCAGCACCGTCATCGTCGCTCTCGCTTTCCATCTCATCATCGCTTGTTCCTTTACCCTTTCGACTCCGTCGACGTTCCGAGTCGCGGAAGGTTGAAAAGCCGGCAGAACCTTCTTTCTTCAGGGGCCCAAGTTTGGGAAGCTCCGCCGCTATGCTACGTCTCTTGGTGCTGACCGCCGCCTTATCGGTCTTGGGTCCAGAAAGGATACCCATCTTCTGTAACTGGCGTTCTCCCCGATAAAGGAATGTGAAGACTGCATATGGTTTATCGGTAGGGTCAATACCAGTCACCGTCTGTGTTGAGATGGTTTTGGGGTCCAGGGTCTTGGGTTTGGCAAAGCTGGTAGTGTGGTCGACATCAGCTCGGTTCTTGCCTTCACCATTACCAGCGCCTTCTCCGACGTCTGAGCCTTCTGAGTCATCGTGGGCATCGAATTGAGGTGAATATTCTCCGCGTTTGATCTCTCCAGAAGCCAACACTCGGAACAAGGCAACCTTGATCTGCCCAGCTGCTTCTGGTATCGGGTCATCATCGTCTTCTGAGGAACCGCTCTCGCTGACCGAGCCCTCATCATCGGAAACGTCCTTCAATTCTCCATCTTCGCCATAGCGCATGGTGTTCTTTCTTTTGTCCTTCTTTGAGAGTCCATTGGTGTCATCATCGCTCCCGGTGGTTTCCTTCCGCTTTCGTCGTCTTCTCTCCAGTTTCTGTCTGCGTCTCTCAATTGTTGCTGCGGCGTCCTTTCCATCGAGGTCCAGACCATTCAACCAGCGCTCGAGACCGACTTCACGGAACAAAAACTCGCGTTCTGCTAGACCACCTCCCTCTTTCTCAGGAACACTGACCCATCGGGAATTCACCCACGTCTCTTCGCCCTTTCTGAGTAGTGTTGCAACCTCCTCTTTGGCTCGGCCATCAAAGTAAATGTAGGCGGCAATAGTTTCGTTAGGGGAGGTTGTCAAGGGGACATAAGGCCCAACTGAACTTGTGTATTTTCCTCGTTCACTTGTGTGACCTGGAAGGCCCCCGACAAGTTTGGGTTTGGGATTCGGAACATCTGGTGTTGCCTTAGGGGTGGAGTAAGGTACTTCCTGACCAGGGGTGAGGAGGGTGATAGAGATGGCAAAGGTCGATTGCTCGGGTTTTCCCGTCAGAGAGTCGGTAGGGATTTGTGCAGGTGGCACGGGGATGTAGGCGCTAATTCTTGAGAGACGAGAGGTTCTCTGTACAGAGTATTCTGGCAAAGGCCCTGTGGGAGTGTGTATGCTCACAGCAAGACCTTTGAAGCAGGGCATGGTGGCTGTCAGAAATTTGAAAGCCCCTTAAGGGAAAGTTGATTCTCCGCTCTCTGCTCGCAGAGATGGCGGAGAACAAATCTCCGATATGATTCGTGAGGCAACAACCCGCGCTGTGTGAATCTTGAATCCAACTTTTCCCGAAATGGAGATTCTACAGTTACCAAAGCGTCAACTCCACCGCCAGATGAGAATTCATGTGCATTCAGCGAGCCGAGGAATAGGAGGGACTGCCTGCTCCGCAGACTCGGCAAGGAACGGTGAGCTATCGGGGGAATGGCGCACGCGATGGAGGGGGACGGTCCTCAAATGAGTGGCGGGGTTGTTTTGAACAAAGAGGAACAAGGAGTTTTGGACGGAAGTAATGAAAATGTCCAGATTGACAACGTGGATGAAGAGAGAATTGTCCAACTTAATTTACTCTTGGACCGAGTTCATAGAGGCTCCGTCAACTGCAGTGACTTCTTTGACGAGGCAGAAATGCCAAGATACCACTAAGCCTTATCCGGATAGACCCAGCCTGATCAAGCTGCGGAGAGACGAGGCTGTATCCGTCGAACCTCTCGCGAGAGCACGGAGTAGTCACAACTATACCAGGAGGAGAAAACAGAAGCCGTCCAATAATATGACTGATTCCATAACAGGCTGCAGACACGGTTTTTCCCTGCTCTCTTTCGATAGGCTTGCAATGCTTGTTGAGTGGCCACGTCTTTGGACACTGAAGCAGATCACACTGCGCCTCTGGTATCAATCTAGCATTCCTATTCTTGGTCTCACGTTTACACAGCTATTTGCACACCCCTAAAGAAACTAGAACATCTATGACAGAGAAATGATACCTCTGGATGTCTAAGTCTAAATGCCGATGTATGTTAACGGCTGTGAAGCAGAGTCATGAACTCGTCTCTACTGGATGTCGCCTTTGAGCATACTTTTCAAACGTGCAAAACCAGGAAACTTACATTTTGGCAAGGAAACTGAAGCATCCATCCCCAGTGTCCAATGAAACCCAAGACCATGCTTGTAATCCGCTTTTGGTTTTCTCAGAGGTGGGTGAGACTCACCAACCGTTACCGTTTGCCCTAGCTCCTACTCTATCTGGCCACGATACTTTTTGGGTCACTCACCTCCCCCCTGGTTCTCAGTTAGCTTACCAAGCCAGCCTTGACTGTGCGCACAATCTACAAGAAGGGTGTAAGGTGTGGTGCGAACTGTACATCAACAAAGTCGAGAGTGGTGTGAGGATGTCGACCTGCAGCATCGGCCAACCAATCATCGGCCCTGGTTGACTGATCGGAGAAATAATGATGGTCCTGGTGGCCCCAAAGGGCAAGGAATAGCGATGACGTATCGCATGCAAGTGTTTCGTGAATGGCGGATTTGCTAGGAAATTATTGCCCCGCGATCA